GCGTCAAGTATCAAATCAGATGACTCACTTATAAGGTGGGGTTATGAGTTCAAAAAAATGGCATCCAGATAAGTGATGCTCGACCCATGTAAGATACATTCGTAGCCATCTTGGCCAAACCCTTGTTTTGTGAGAAAATATTATATGTTATGGTTTTCATGAGGAAAGATGCTTTGCACTCCCCAAAGAAACTGAGAGTGCTGCATAGGTTTATGTCAACTTGACACAAGCTAGTCCTTTCAGAAGAGGGGACCTCGATTGAGAAAATGCCTCCACCAACTGGCCTGATGTCCCAGACTGGGCTGGTGGTCCTGGACACTATCAGAAAGCTTCCAGGAAAGCCACTGGGAGCAAGCCAGTAAGCAGGAATCCTCCACGGTCTCTGCTTCAGCTCCAGCCAGGCTCTTGCCTTGACTTCCCTCACTGTTGGACGTCTAAGCTCTGAGATGAAATAAACCCTTTTCTTCCCAAGTTGCTTTTGGTCATGTTTATCACAACAGAGTGTCTTAAGGGTGTGCTTACTGCCCAGTTCAGTAATAATGCGTATCTTTAAAACTTAACTGGAAAACTGTTTTTGTTACCTTTTAAATTTTACCTTAAAACAAAACCTCTTAATTACTATTATCACCAGTTAAATACTGCAAAACAGGAGATACCGAATTAAGCAGAGTAGATATTAAAAACAATAAATCATGACCTTTGCTCTCAGGCAGCTGACTGGTGTGTCAAGGAGAGTCAGTGAATTAAACAGAATAAATGGCTAATACCTCAGACAATCTTATACGGCTCAAAGTAATATAGCCGTTGCAGGTAATTAACCTGGCATTACTACTTTGGAAGTATAGGTTAGGGAGCAGAGAATATCCTAGGATCTATTAAATTAAAATAAGATCATTATGTGTCCTTCCAGGAAAAAAAAAACAGCAATTGCAGGTTGGGAGATGGGGCTGGGAACTGAGGAACACATGACAAATTTGTGTTTCTTTCTTGTATTTTTTTGTGTGTGTGGTGCTGGGAATATTGCTATCTAGGACCCTTTGGCATGTCAGGAAAGCCCTCCAGCGCTGAGCTACATCCCCAGCCCCGTGTGAAGTTCATCTTTATATTATACTTTACTGCAGAGAATTCAGAATCCCCTGGTGACTCAGAGCCAGAGAGGGACTCACATGTCAGTGATGGGCTTCTCTGGGTTTTTCTCACAGGGCTCCATTACCCATCCTTTTCATGCTCCTCTGATTTAGGGTTCTATTGATGGAAAATTTAGGAAGCAAACTCTGGTTACTTTGCCCTCTTGGCCTCTTTTTTTTCTTTATAAGATTTCTTTTTAAAGTATAGATAGCTCTCAATTAGCAGAGGGGAGATGACTTGTTGGGTGTACTAATCCAACGAACACTGAAAAATAATAAACACTGATTCTGCTTTGTTTCTGACTGGTTCTAAACCAGCGTGTTGTGACGAGTCAGGCAATGTACCATTCTCTTCTATTTTAGGCTTTTTTTTTTTTGTCTTTTGTTTGGTTTTGAGACAGGTTTCTCTGTGAAACAGTTCTGGCTGTCACTCTGTAGACCAGGCTGTCCTCAGTCTCACAGAGATCTGCCTGCCTCTGCCTCCTGAGTGCTGGGACTGAAGGTGTGCGCCATCTTTTATTTTGCTTTATGTTTGGTCTGGAGCTCTCCATGCAGTCTAAGCTGACTTTGAACTCACGGCAATTCTCCTGCCTTAGTCTCTCCAGGGCTGGGATTAGACACCCAGCTCTCTCTTCAGACTTCTTTCCGTTTAGGATAAAATGCTTTGGACAGATGTGAAAAATGATCTCCTTGACTTTTGTGCTCTGACTGCTCAAAGCCAGGGACCTGCCCCCATCCCAAATAAAATGCTAGACCAACCGACCGATTTGGACAATATAACTGTTTCCTCATCAGTTTCAAGAACAAATTCAAAAAATAAATGCATTGTAAAAGGCCACAGCAACACCATCTATGGCAAGCAGAAATGGGCACTAAAAGACATTAAAGTTACATCATACAGTACATCTCAAATATTCTGACAACAGTAAAACAATCATCTGTAAACAGTCACGACCAAGTTTAAAGCATCCGAATGAACACGGTTAATATTCTGACCAGTGAGGTAACAGGGTAGTAGTGTTTCACAGTAGCAGAGGTAGAGGATGCCATGGGGAGAGGGAGGTAGAGCAAGAAAGGTGTGAAATCAAATGTATCCAACTGGAATTTGTATTTTTCAGGCTTTGGAAACACCAGTGGAAAAGTCTGGAAATAGAAGTAGTAGCAGCATTTGTTGAACTTCTCGAGGAGACTCCCACTTAATGTTTTTGTTGAGTCAATTCCAGAAGCATCTTGATGAAGAAATGGGGGGGGGTCTACTTGTTGTATGCAGACATCACAAAGTATCTATTCTCTTGGAATCTGTCTTAAGTTTCTATAGCCAAATACTGATACTTTTTTATTTGCAATAGATCTCAAATATCTTATAAAGCCATGCATTCTTCTAGATGAACACGAGTGTCTTCAAATCTCATACGGTTTGCAAATTAAAAAGAACACCCATTATTGTGCTCATGCACCTGCCATTCAAAATATACACAAGATATTTGCGAGCCAAACTCTAGATACGGGGTGAGCACAACTCACCATTAGTGCTCTATACAGAAGTCTTGTTCCAACCTGATTCTTAAAAGTGTGTATGAAGGAATCTTTAAATATCACCCCTCCCCTTCTTAAACATTTCACGTTGTCTATTCATTTATTTCTGACAATTACATATGTGTATAAAATGCATTTTGATCACTGTCACCCCATCACCCTTCTCTTAACCCCCTCCTACTCCTGCTGACTTCCCTTTTCAACTAGTCCCCTTCTACCCACCATGTCTTCTTTTCTTGTTTTTACAACAAGTCTTTCCTATTCATTTTACGTCCTTATTCCTTGTGGTGTCTTCACTAAGGATCATCAGGATGCCATTGGTGTTTACTTTGATTCCTTCAGTAAAACCCCAATGAATAACTTATGATTTAGTTAATGAGCTCAACAACTTTCAGTCCTTGAACTTTTTCTTAGAGGTTATACTTTACAATCCTTAGTTTTATTTCTTTTAGTTTTGTTCTTTCTCGTCTCTCATTCTCGTGTGATTTTGAAAGAATATCCCAGGAGGAATGGGATCCATAATAAGAGAGCTTTTCCCTCTCCTCCTAAAACGGGGCTTCTCTTCAGTGGTAATGACTGAAGGAAAATGGTAGACTTGCCGTCTGCTCACAAACACAAGTGAACGGCCTCATGTACAGTTCACCCCACTGTTAATAGCACTTGGATTATGGTTCACAAGAAGCATTTCTCACGCTGCCATTGCTGGCTTTTATATATTATTTGTCAGTCTCTACTGATATTTCCACTTTACTCTTTGATTTTTGCCCATCAATGACAAGCTTCTCCCACGTGTCCCCCACCCCCACCCCCGCAAGCCTAGCAGCTATCTTTGCTTTATCTGCATGCTAGAAAAGTGCTTTACCACTGGGCTCTGTCCCAGCCTAATTCTTCTTCCTAATGCTCCAGAAAACACCTGTTCTGATTTATTCACTCAAAGAAAATGCATTCATTGTCATACTACTGTTGAAAAAAGAAAAGAAATGAACAAATGTAGCGCCAAAGCTGAGACTCATTGGCTGACATCCCTTTCCTGTCAGGGACCTATGCACCCACTATGCCAAGTTTATGTTAAACATGTTCAGACGCAGTCAAGAATTTGAACAAAATCAAATAGTTTCTTCAACTTATACACTTTGGGAACCTGCACACATAACTGGAATTTAGCCCTTCAAGATAAGAGCTCAAATGTCAGTAACTTCACTTTAAGATGACATATCTTGTATATGCTACAGCATTCAAACAAAAATGTTCTCTTCATAAGTGGATGACAATCATGACATGGCTTTTGTGATAATGAATAGCTATCACATCACTTTAGTTTCATTTTGTTCTTGGATCACTGGAACACAGACATTGAAATTAATGTGCATGTTTTCCATATGTACAGCTTTGTAAATACATGCCATTTCCTACGTTACACTTATACTCCTATCAGCCAATAAACAAAAATGTTTTATATATTTTAAGAATAAAACAAAACATTCCATATACTTCTTCTCTAAGGCAAAGCCTTTAAAATAAACCATACAGAAAATGGCACTGTACACTAATAGCTATTATCTACAGTCATATAGGACCCAGCTCTAATAGCAAGGAAGGAACAAATTAACAATAGTGGCAACATACTTTGAAAACTGTGTTTGGATTACACAAGCTCAACCAAAATTAGCTCAAGTCTGTAAAAAAACCAAACCATGATTTAATTAACATTCTAATCTGTTTAGGCAATATATTACTATTTTTAGGAAATAAATTAGTATCAGTGCTGTACCGTATAGGAAACTTGGTTTAAGCGATTACACCCCAAGGCCTTGTTACTGTTATCCTAAATATAGCATGTATTCTGTAAACTATGTAGGGAGATACACAATTCGGAAAGCTTAGACAATATTTCTCTATTAGGGCTTTTCAGAGTGCTAGAGAATCAACCACAAATGACTTTCCTGAAAACTGTTTTCACACGGAAAAAGAAGAATATTTATATTATCTGAAAGTCCAAAGCCAGCAACACACTAAAATAAATTGACCTTGGTCTTAAACAGCACTTTCATATTTCATAATACCCAAATTTCCCACTCAAGGACCAACCATGCTTAGCCTTGTTCAGCTTCTGAGATCAAATGAGACTGGGTGTTGAATCAAGGTGGCAGAAAATACCTATATCTTAATGTTCCATTTCTTGGTAAGATTAGCATCACTTTTCAGATAAAAGAATACATCTACTCATAAAAATGTAATTCAATAAGACTGTCAAATGCCACATTCATTCCACAGTAGGTTTTTTTTTTCACTTACAGGTTATGATAACTGAATCCTTGCATGAAGACTCAACTATAGTTACATTAAGCCAGATTTTATTAAGATCTTTTTTTCTACAACCGTTTTTAGAGCCAACAAACCTGTTTTCTATATAGGAAGCACCTATACAGTTGGGAAGATTTCCCTTAACCATCAGAAAATGGACTGATAAAATTATATCCAATGCCGGAACACTGTTTCGTTCACACCGCACCCTGAGAATGTACTGAGAAATTAGACAAGAACAAAGCCACTGGGAGAGTTGCCACTATTGTTTTATGTTCAGTAAACATCAGTCTTAAATACATACAGTAAATATACACCATAGCAAGGGCACCTGAGACAGAGGTAAAAACCACAGACTGTGACATCTGTCCTAGGTCACAAAACCAAAAAAAAAAAAAAAAACAAAACAAAACAAAACAAAAAAAAAACAAAAAAAACCCCAAAAAACCTATAAACTTTTTTTTTTTTTTGAGACAGAATTTTTCTGTGCAACCCAGGCTGGCCATAAACTAACTAATGATCCTCCTGCCTCAGCCTCCTGAGGGCTGTAATTACAGGAATGTGCCACCAACCTGGGTTTCTAACTTGAAAATCAATACCTACCATCATGACAATGATACTTTTCCACAATGGGTGTGGAACACCCCAGGCATCATACACACCTTTAAGAAATAATTTCCTTAACTAACCCTATATTATATAATGTTTCTTTTAAACCATGCTATACACAATTATATCATGTAATTAAGCTTAACCACAGTTTAATAAGCAAACTCACTTTTGTACTGTTTGTGACACAGGAGGAATGGAGGGCACTGAACACTTTCAACGTAATGACTGTCATTTAAGATTATGAAAACATTTTCATTTCAAATGTATATATATATAATCTATTTAGCTGAACAAAGGAAAGAGAAGGGGAAAGATAACTTGGCAGATGAGAGAATTCCAACACAAGGTTCACTGTCTAGAGTTCTTCGTTCCATGTCAGTGCAAAGTGGTAATGTTCTGCAGTGCCCTATACAGAACGCCAGATCAGGCCGTTCTTACTGGGCTCAAGAAAATTCTCTATCAGAGCGTCAATGAGCTTCTTTAATTCTTCTTCCAGTAAGGCAGTGTCACTGGGGGAAAAAGACAAAGAACTTAAAAATTCTTATTTTCATAGCCTTAACATTTATTTATTTTCACTTTTAGGGAGGGCATATATCAAATGGAATAGTTAAATAATTGGCAAACAAAAACAAAATTCACCCAGTTAAAATAAAACAAGACTCTGTCAAAGAATTCATATGCAAAACAATAATCATGAACTAGGTATCTTCTGACCCATAATAAAGTATGAGTTAATTATGATAAATTAATTCTCCTAGACTAGGCAATTGAATAGCTCCAAATGCTAATGCCAAGTATTATTACAGAATGGCTTTCTGGGGTACTGAAGGATATTCAATACAGGTGACAGGGACAACACTACCCGTCTTTCAGGTAGCAGAAAGCAGTCCCAGCACACACTGGGGAGACAGAGACGTGTTATCTCTGTGAGTTTGAAGCCAGCCTGGTCTACACAAACAGTTCCAGGCCATCCTGGAACTGTCTCAAAGAGAGTCTGTCTCAAACAAAAGTAGAAAAAAATAATAAAACGTTTATTAAAAAATAACTATACACTTACTGGGCGGTGGAGGTGCACACCTTTAGTCCCACTCTGGAGGCAGAGGCAGGGGGATCTCTGTGAGTTCGAGGTCAGCCTGGTCTAGAAAATGAATTCCAGGTCAGCCAGGGCTGTTACACAGAGTAACCCTGTCTCGAAAACCCAAACCAAACCAAAACCAAAAACTATACACTTACAAGCAATTCCCTCTGAGTCGTCTTGGGAGCACTGCTCTTGGGAGCACTGCTCCAGCTCAAAATGTTTCTAGAGAAGCTTCCAGTGATTGCTTTCCCAGTCACTGACAAGCTAGGTAACATCCATCTTATTACTTTAATAATACTCATTTTAACCTAAAATCACCTTATCTGGGTAGCTATAAACTTTTCTCTGAACATAGAGGACTTTTTCTTCTCCAGTGGAAATGCAATTTTCATACAAGGGCATGGTCTGAAGACAATGAAAAAATAAAATCTCCTTCCCCCAAATCCACTGGTCAATGAATGACATAATCAAAAGGAATACTTTTATTACTTTAAAATAACGTTTGGTGTGTTTATTGACAACTCATATCTTCAGAAAATGAATTGGGCAGATTATGCAAAATCATGACAGATACAGAAAACAAGTATTTGGTAATATACAGAGGAACTATTGATCATTGCTTTATACTAAATCTTTGTCTTTCCAAGAACAAAAGGAAATCACTACAATTTTGAAATTCAATTCCCAATGATAAAATTCTTTTTTTCTTTCTTTCTTTCTTTCTTTCTTTCTTTCTTTTTTTGGAAAGAGACTGACAGTCTCTCAAGAGGTAAAAGATACCTTAGGGCTACCTTAGGACCCAGCAATCCTACTCCTTCATATATATCCAAGAAAAATGAAAGTGCATGCCACACAAACTCATTCAAAAATGCTCACTTGTGACAGCTTAAAAGATGTAAATAGTTTGAATGTCCATGGATGAGTGGATTTAAGAACATGGTATATATTCATACAAAGGAATATTTGGGAGTTAAGGATGATTTCAGCCACTAAGGACCACATACTGTATTTATTTATATAAAATGTCCTGTTATATGTTGAATCTGAAATGTGCCTCATAGACTCAGGTATTACAGTATTATAAATCTTTGTCTTCAGATATTGGTGCTATGTGGGGTAGAAAAAACCTGAAGGAAATCGGTCCCTGGGCTGTGCTTTTGAAGGTTTTACCTGATCCCTTCCTCCTCCACATCATGCTCATCCTTGCCTTACACCCAAAGAAATAGATCCAGCAACCAGGAGCTGAACCCTCAAAAAGCATGACCCAAATAAATGCTTCCTCTTTTTTTTTAAAAAAAAATATTATTATATATACAGTGTTCTGCCTATATTCTGCCTGCAAGCCAGAAGAAGGCACCAGGTCTCATTACAGATGGTTGTGAGCCACCATGTGGTTGCTGGGAACTGAAGTCAGGCCCTCTGGAAGAGCAGTCAGTGCTCTTAACTTCTGAGCCATCTCTCCAGTCCCCTCTTTTTTTTTTTTCAAGTGTTGAAAACAAGAAAAAGTGTGACCCATGTCTACTGTAAGTAAATCTATGGAAAAGGACAGTAAATTGGTGATTACTTGGGCAGTGAAGGGCCTCCTGGAGCACACAGAGGCTTCCTTTTGGAGTTATGAAAATGTTCTGAAGTTGATTGTAGTGATGGTTACACAGCTCTGGATGTACTACAAACTACTCAGTTTTACACTGATATGTGTGAATTTTATGGTATATAAGTTATATACCAATAAAGTCTTTACGTATATATCTAAAAAAATCAGTTCTTACCTCTGGCCAGGTGATGCACACATCTCCGCATAATACTTTATCTTTGGTTCTGTCCCACTTGTTCGAAGAGTGGCAACACAGCCATTTTGAAAAGTAAACGTGATCATTTGGCTGTTTTTACTCACGGGCAGTACCTATGCAAAATGCAACGGATCTATATTTTCAAGAACTATAAACTACATTGCACTTACATGAAGCATCTAAGGTAGTCTAATTCATAGAAACAAAGTATAGATTGCCAAGAGTTGGGAGATGGAGGTGGAAAGTTGTTTAATGAGTACAGAGTTCAGTTTCAATTTATCAAGGCTAAAACATTCTGGGAATCTGTTGTGCACTAATATAAACATACTTATCATTAGAGAACTGAATGTTCGAAAACTGGTAAGATTTAAAAAGAGAACATGAAATCCTGAGGGAGATGGGTTGGTGATTCCCAGAGGGAGTTGGAGGGAGGTAGTGAGGATGTGTAAGATCAAAATACATTAACCATGTATATAATCATCAAAGAATAAAAAATATTAAAACTGGGTAAGATACAAACATGTTAAATACATTATTAGAATACTAAAACAATATCTTTTAAATAGTACAACATCTGAATATTATAAATGAAGACTTAAGCTAACAGTTATCATAACAACAGAACAAATATAAAAATTTATCACACCTAAGTATCCAATGAGCACCTACCACACAGGTAGGAGTTTTGAGAGGCATAGAGAAGTAGACCTACCACATGCAATGATAACATAAGTAGATGTCAACAAAGACACTCTCACAAAACCCATGGGACCTGGAGTCGTAAGGAGGACTTGCCTTAGGTCTTCAGTCTTACACATTCTAGGTAAGTGCCCTATCACCATCGGCCCTTGCCTTAAACCTTAAATAATGGTGAGGTATGAACCTACCGCAGAAAGGAGAAAAGGTACTTACTGACTTCTTACTGGGCTGGCTGCTGTCATATCCAGTCGTTATGTCTCGTACATGTAAGATAGCAAAGGCCCCACAGAACTTTGGGTACTCCCCTGGACACTCAAAATTGCGAATCCTTTCAAATATAGTTTTGATGGTAGGTGGGTCATAACACAAGAAATATGAAGTTTTGGACATGTGATAACCGTATCTGTGCAAAGATTTAAAGCTGAAGTCAGATTCGAGGTAACTTTTGGGACATGTACATATTAAAGATAAACCAATGTGATATTTTATAGAAAATAATACTGATAATTTTAACTAGTCCTCAAAAACAAACCCAGAAAAGGACCAAATCAAACAAACAAACAAAAAGGCAAGCAAGGACTATCTGGCACGAGATTCACACGAGAACTTACTTTTCATAAACTTTGGCCAGCTGCTCTGTCAGGGTCACCTTCCTGGTTTCCAGGAAAGAGGCCATCTCGGCAACAACCACAGCTGCACTCACTCCATCTTTATCCAATACGGAGGTTCCACACAGAAAGCCTGAGGGTTACACGGTGTCTTTAGAAAAGGGGGAAGACTTCGGCTACAACTACCACAGTCTTATATTTCCCCGCTGACCAGCACTGACGAACGTAGTATCAGGCCAGGTGTGATAATGTATGACTACACCTCAGCACCCAAGGGGCTTAATTGGGAGTTCAAGGCCAGGCTAGGATGTAATAGCTAACATTTTGTCTCAAAACAAAAACAACAAACAAAAAACTTATCACTATCAACAAAATATAGTGACGGCAATAATAAAACATCTAACTCCATAGGAGTCTAGAAACAGTGTACTTAGGGACCTCTAAGTTCTTCTCTAATGGAAAATGCACCTATGTATTTGACTTAGCCTTCTTAGGGAAGCAAAGCCTTTAAGGTTTTAAACAATGCCATGTAAGCATACCACATGCTTAAATTTTCCATAACATCGCGGCCTACATAAAGCTTCTAACAAGTCCTTCTTTGTAATCAGATTTGAGAGTCTTTCATCTGATGAACCACTGTTCACTTGAAAGACATAGACTGCTAGGCAGGCATCTCTGCATTTCCACAACTCAAAGTTACAGCTGGGAGGTAAATGTCTCCTCTCTATAGAATCACCATATTTTTTAACTGTTTTCAACCCAAAGAAAAGATTATTAGTATTTACTACATACCAATAGACTCTTCAAATGCAAAAAGGACTTCTTTCCCATGTCCTAGGAGGTCTTTTATCCTACTTCCAATCCACTTAAAGCCTGGTAATGTTTCCTGAAATGTAGAGGAAGCCCCTCCAGTTAAGCAACTCTGATTAAGTGAACACACATTAAAGAGCTTATTTCTAAATGCACAGAACTCCTGAACAGTGAGTTCCTGTCCAGGTCCTTGGTCCACAGAGGTTTATAAAGTGGTGGATATATAGTCACAAACTACCACAGCCACCCACCACACACAGGCACAACTGATGACCCACCAGCAGAGAAACAGTGACTTACATCAAATACAGTACGTTTATGTGATGAGGAATATACATGTCACTGATAAGTCAGATTTTTCCCAGTCTAAAATGTTCTATGTTCTCACATGACATCCCCAGACACTCCGTACGTGGAGTAAGAAGCACTGTTGTAGTGTCTGGAAGAACATGTCCCCTCGGAAATTCACACAATAGATGACTTCGGCTCAGGTGTCTAGTTACCAAACATTTTAAGCAAGCGTAAACAGTTAGAAGTCTTTGTAGAAATGTTTAGAGAAGTGCCATGCAGACTTCAAACGACGCCCACTTCATTCCTACCTCAAAGTGGAATCCTTCTTTCAGTGCAATCGCCTTTAGAATTTTAGAAGAGACGGTGGTGGCCAGCATGTAAACATTCTTCACATCAGCGTCCGATTTGCTCTTCTTCCAGCAATCAAACATCCACCACCCAAACAAAGCTGCCAACTCATTCCCTGTGAAAACTTTCCAGTGACCACTGTAGAAAGAATGAAACTTCAAAGTCAATACCTCGGTAGTTTCTCAAGAAAACGCTCCAGCTCAGACCTTTAAATCAGTATCCCCACCCTGTCTCCCCTTTTCTTGGAAACCCTAAAAGTTATTATATGACAAAACATTTATTCCTTCTTTTTGGTGTGTTGTATACACGTGTGTACCTACTTGTGTGTACACATGAATTGCATATGTAGGGAGGCCAGAGGTGAACACTGAGTACTTCCTCTATTACTCGTCACCTTATTTTTAAATATAGTTTTAATTTAATTCATGTGCATGTGTGCACACTTGTGTGCCTGTATGTGTGTATGTAAGTAATGCCTGTGGAGGCCAGAAGAGGGTGGTGGATCCCCTGTAACTGGAATACAGGCAGCTGTGAGCCACCTGATCTGAGTGTTGGAAACCACACCCAGGACTTCAGAAAGAGAAGCAAGTGCTCTTAATCAATAAGTCATCTCTTCAGCTGCCACCTTACTTTTGGCGACAGGGTCTCTCACCGAACCTGGAGCTCATCAATTCAGCTAGGAAGGCTAGCCCATGAACTCCACGAGCCTCCTGTCTCTGTCCCCACCAGTGTTGTGAGTTCATATGCGCAGCTCACCTGCTGTGTCCTGAAAACACAGCTGGCTCTCAGAATCTTTACACACCTCCTTCTGCGATAACCCTTGATCCTTGGGAGGAGGAGGTGATGTGGACATCCCATTTAGGGCCGCAGCTCAAACTACTTACTTCTCCTGAAGTTCTGCTACTGCCAGCCGGTCTGCATCAGGATCTGTGGCTAGCACTATCCGGGCATTTTCTTTCTCTGCCAGTCTTAGGGAGAGTTCCTAAACAGGAAATCCAAAAAGGCTAGATTGTACTAAAGAACCCAAATCCAATGTGCTTATAATGTAGGCACTGTCAGTGATATGAATTTCAGAAAGCATGCAGTCTGGACAGACAGAACTAGGGCCACTTTCTGCAGAGATTTCAAACACATCTTTATGGTGCTTGCTGCAGGGCACAGGGGAAGCATGTAAGTCATCCCTGACATCTAGTACAATGGGTGAGAATCTAAGAAAAATTTAAATATTAAAAACTATACCAGCACAGATTCTCCTTCTTCAGGGTTTGGGCATTTAACAGTAGAGAACTCTGGATCTGGATCTTTCTGTTCTGGGACCGGAATTGGAGGCTTAAAACCAAATACTTGAAAAGCCAACTGCACATAGTCATGACCAACTCCGTGAAAGGAGGTATGCACAAACTTCAAGGTGGTCTTCGAATTTAAGTCCCTGTAAAGAAAAACCACATATCCTTACTCGTCATTTACTAACCACTTCCTATAGTAAATAAGATTTATAAAATAAATAACAATTACTTCATAACAAGTTTCAAAATACAGATAAAGAGAACACCCAACACCCATCTATGCCTGGCACTTTGTTTCAACATCTATCGATTCTGTCAGTCTGGCTTTACTTCTTCTCAACATATTATTTTGTACAAAATACTTTAGGATTTAAAAACACAAACATAATCCCATTGTCACATCCAAAACACTGAACAATAATCTTTTCATGTTGCCTAATATCTGTCTTCACATTTTCTCCAAGTGTCTAAAAAATAACATCTGGTTGCTATGCCTTCCAGGTCATGACTTTGTAAATGTCCTTTCTGTATGTTTCCAATGCTTGTTTTTTCCCAGAGAATGCATCTTGGTATTATGCCTCCTTTTCGTTTTGTTTTCCTTTTCCTCTTTCCCACCTCTTTCAGTTTGAGAGAAAATCTCTTAAATGTCTCCAGCTGGCTTCAAACCTGCCATGTAGCCGAGGGTGACCACTATCTTCTGATCCTCCTGCCTCTGTGTCCCAAGCACTGGTATTACATGTGTATGCCGCTGTGTCCAGTTTATGTGTTACTGGGATTCAACTCAGGGAAGGCTCTGCTCACACAAGGCAAGCTCTCTCCTGAGCTACATCTAAGTCCTTGTTTATATTAGTACGTTTCTCTGATCTGTTTCTACAATGTATGGGTCATTTAATCTAGGGGCAACATGAGATTCAATTCCAATTCTCTTGGCAAGAACAGAAGGTGTGTATTTTGTACCCAGTCACAATAGGAAGTCCATCATGCCAACTTCACGGCTAATATTTATTAGTGCCCTGTCATCCTCATCCACCCGTCTGCAAGTTCCTATCAATTTATTGCCTATTATAAGCTTCGAGCATGGCTGCTAAGGTTCATTATCGAGATCACAAAATTGTGATGTTTTAATTCTACTCTTCTTTCTGCATTTAATAGTTGAATTTGGGACAGTCAGATCAGTGGTAGAGTGCTGTCTAGCATGGATAAAGCCCAGAGTTCAATCTCTACCACAAAAAAAAAAAAGTGGATTTTTCATTTTGAAGACTTTCTAGTCTTTGGCCAGTGGCAGGCCCTCATGTTGGTTCTTTTATGCTTTCTATATGACCTAAGTATTTCCTAGTATGTTAGAGGGAAGAGAGGGAAAGAGGTGAGAGAGGGGGGAGAGAGGGAGAGGGGAGAGAGAGACTAACTTAATGATTCTGATACCAAGCTCATTTAGGACATTTCCGTACCAGGGCTGGATATATGCTATTCTAAGGTTATCCTACAGTCCCATTGGATACCTGTGAAAACAGATCTTTTTCAGGTCTTCCATGTATCTCTTGCAGATGTCCTGGAGAGGATCTTTTTTCAGAGGGCTGGTGTCCACTAAATTATCATTCCAGGAACCATTCCATGGTTCCACACACTCTTCTATACATTTCAGAATTTCTTTATCATGAGGAGATGTAATTTGAGCACCAGTTTCCCAATACACCTATGTGATACATAAATACAGCCATAATTAGTTAAAATGCTTGTAGGCTCTTTCTCAGCTATAGTAGAGCTCTCTGACTTTGTGAAGAATATCAAATTAAGTAAAAAATTATCAGTATTAGGCTAATTTACTAACACTAAAGTACACTGATGGTAATGACTTGTTACAATAAAACAATCATGTATTATAGCTTATCTTAGAATCAACTGCAGTAACAAGCTAATATGAGGGATTAATATAATCACCTTATAATACATGCATATGCTAGTATAAAATTGTATTTTTAGATTTACAACTATTTCTAAAGATAATATAAAAAAAGATGAAATGGGGCTGAAGAGATGGCTCAGCAGTTAAGAGCACTGGCTGCTCTAGCAGAGAACCCAGGTTGGTTCTGACAAGGTGGCTCAGAACCATCTGAAACTCCAGTCTCAGTTTTCAGGGCTCTGACACCCTCTTGCAGCATTGCATTGAGAGTAGTGCATGCATGTGGTGTACAGACATACATATAGGCAAAACATTCACACACCTGAAATATAAATAGATCTTTAAAAACTAAAAAACAATGAAATATCCACAAAAACTTACACTATTAAACTCAGTATTGTATTATATGAAACAGAATAAATAAATCACCTCCATAGTAGATTAGAGTTATGTAATATCAAAATATGTATCAGAAAAAATAAAATAGTATGTTAAATCCATTTCAAGTAGTTTTCAATTTCTCTAGTAGTTTAATCAGTAAGGCACTAAGAATAATCACACACACCCCAAAACAAAAGCAATCAAAAAGGTAATTCTAAGATTTCACAGGGTTTTAAAGCTCGAAGGGACATTGCTCAAAAAATATTTATGCTGATTCTATCACAGATATGTCATGGAACCCTGCTGTTCCATTCTAAATGAAAGACATTTGACTGCATATACTATGTATTAAACTCTGTCACAATGTGACAAATTATTCAACTTAAAAATTCTTATATCAACAACAGAAACAACAGGAAATATATAAAGTCATAGAAATCAACTCAAAAGAATCAAAATCGGGTCAATACAAAAATCAAGAAGAAAATTAAAACATTTTAGAACTGAATAAAAATGAAAACACAACATACCCAACCTATGGGACACAATGAAGGCAGTTCTAAGAGGCAAGTTCATAGCACTAAGTGCCTACACAAAAAACAGAAACAACTTAGTACTCCAGAGCAAGAAGAAATAACACCCACAGAGTAGATGGGAATAATCAAATTCGAGGCTGAAATCAATAAATAAGAACAACAACAAAAACAGTATAAAGCATCAATGAAATGAAGAATTGGTTCTTTGAAGAAAAAAGACCAACGAGATTGAGAAACTCTTAGCCAAATTAACCAAAAGATGGGGAGAGGAAATCCAAACAGAGATGAAAAGGATAACATTTCAACAGACACTGAGGAAATTCAGAGAATAAGGGTATACTTTAAAAGTCTGTATTCCACAAACTAGAATAACTAAAAGAAATGGATGAATTTCTTGACATATATGAACCACCACAGTTAAATCAAGATCAAATAAACAATTTAAACAAATCCATAACCTCTAGTAAAACAGAAGCAGTAATTGAGATATTTGTGTACACCTACCACCTGTGTGCCTGTCACCCACAGTGGCCACAAGAGGGCGCTGGAGTCCCTGGGACCAGAGTTACAGATGGTTGTGAGTCACCAAGTGGTTCCTGAGAAACAAATCAGGATCCTCTGGAAGAGCAGCAGTGCTCCTAAGTGCTATCCCCTCCCAACACTTTGCTCTCACTCTCTTTGCATATCCCTTTGGACCAGAAGTTTTACTTTTAAAATTTTATCTTATGATAAAAATTTAACTTCTCCCACAGGAAAATAAAAAGAAGGAAACTGAATATAAAGTTAGTCTTTGACCTCTACACCTCCCCCCGCCACAGAGAGAGAGAGAGAGAGAGAGAGAGAGAGAGAGAAATTAAAAAATGTATCCTATGAAACAGCAATGTCTAAAAGAACAAAATGTGCTCCACAAATGGAAACCACATAGGTAATTTCATTTTTTCTAGCAACCACATCAAACAGATTCAGAGTAGCTGGGTGGTGGTGACATATGTCTTTAATCACAGCAGCACTCAGGAAGCAGAGGCAGGTGAATCTCTGTGAATTCAAAGCCAGCCTGGTTTATACAGCGAGTTCCAGGATAGTCAAGGCACCACAAAAAAACCTGTTTTGGAAATACCCCCCCCCCCCCATAAAAAAAGGTTCAGAAGGTGAATTATATGTTCCTTTTACAATTAAAATTTTAAAATAAATAGATGAAAATAAAACAAAGATTAAAATATTAAATGAATTTTAATATACATTCTATAACCCATTGTATTAAAATATACTATTCTGCATTTCTAACTTCTTAGTCCAGCCTAGTCATACTTTAAGTGTTTGGCAGCCATCGGTGGCTACATTATACAGAGAAGCTGCTGATACTGAGAATAAAAACAGCTGACATTTACTGAGAACATGTCAGAGTCAGACACTGTGGTAGGAATTATGACTTTTGATCTTCACTTTCACTCTATATCTCATTGGTTCTACAATTATCTTCAGTTTGCAGTTGATAAAACTAAAGCACAGAGGAGTAGATTAGCCTGCCCCAGATCACAAAGCTTCTAAGAGGCAGAGGTCAGTGTCGAAGCAAACTGAAAGGAAGCCGTCAAGAACAGGTTTTCACTGCTGTTTAGGTGTGTGGTAACACTAATTGACAGAGAAGAGAAGATCAAGGAGGACTAACTTGGAGTCTATGAGGCAGCTGTGGGTAATTAAGAACCCTGTTAAAGAGACACTGGTTCTGAAATGGCTCCCAGACATCCCAACAGATTACAGTAGGAGTCTGCATACAGAAATCTGAAGCTTTGCTCTTACTAACCCTTGCAACTCTCTAAGTCTTTTAGGCTTAATGGCATTAATTTCTTCCAGCTTTTCTCCTATCTCTGGTACCTTTTTTCCTTTCCTTTCATTTCCCTTAAAGTTAATATTCCCTAGAATCCATTTTTGACTTTTCCTTCTACCTTATCTTTTGGCTGTATATCCAAGTCAAGAACTTCCAAATAACCCTATATGTTCTAGTAGATATGGTACCCCTAAGACCTGTAACTTCAGCCCATATTTCTTCCTTGAGTTACAGATCTCCACAGCTCACAGCAAGCACATCTGCTTACCTGGTTAACTCACAGTACCTGGAACTTACATGTCCTAAACTGAATTAATTATGCTTCTTCCCTGACTCTAAGAATGGGCCAGACCCCAAATCTTAAATCCATATTAAATCTTTCCCCTACTTAAAATGGAACTTAGTGTGTCTGGAGTCCTCTCAAACAGGAAGAAAATGCAAGAACATGGGTCTATCTCCAAGAAGCCTGAAACTTGGCTCGGTACTGGGCTATGTATCTTCTGTGTGCACCTCTCAAGTTGCTGATCCCCTCTGCCACTGTATTGTCATTTTGTCAGAGGGGCTCATGCAGCAAATGGACCCAGTGGCCACTGAGAAGCCTGGGCAGATCAGAGGGAGGGGACAGTGAGGTCAAGGTACTATTTCCCTGACTCTTACCATTCATTCTTCATATTCTTGATACACAACATGACTTGATTTCTGAAATTATAGAGGGGATATATTGGGAAAGGATGGAGAAATCAAAGAAAACAGAAGTAAAACCCCAATGAAGAGACCATTGTAACATGCACACTCTGGGAACCAATAAACACACAGGAGGTTACATTCTGGGAGAGCCAGAGTTCTCAATCTGTTTCCAATGCCTGGTTTTATTCCCCAGTGTTGAGAACATACCAAGCACATATTATTCAAATAAAATAAAACTTATAAAATAGGCAAAGATTAGGCGTCCAAGGCTTACCTTGTATCCATTGTCCTCTTTGCGGTTGTGAGATGCAGTAATCATCACACCTGCAACTGCTTTGAGCTCCTGCACTGCATATGGCTGGAAAAATAAAAAATATACCAGAGCAGCATTTTTTCCACTTTACTTGCTAGATATTCATATATTTTACATGAACATTACTTGGTTAAATAATGCAGGAGGATACTTAGGTATCAATAATTTAAGGTCTTATCAGCTCCAGGTTTGATGGGTAGGGTCCATTTCTAATACATGCAGCTCAACAACCACCCAGTTATCACCTTGAATGGTCTTCCCTACCAATCTCATTTTGCTTATTGGTATAACAATTTCCTATTCTTTTGTTATACAATAATATTTAGTAAATACTATATGACAGATACTTTACTGGGATGGAGATATGAACGGAAAATATAATCATAAATAGTTGGAGATGGAAATAAATTTATTAACTATCTATCCATCACATTTTACTGAGTTTTATCTGACATCACATGGTGATTAGGTAGAAGATTCAAAAGTCTAACACAAGACTTTTGACTTTTAATTTGAAGATCCTCACATACACTCTGTGCCTCCATGTCATGTGACAACTCACCCTTCTCTCTCCCAGGCTGTGTGTTTCTCTTTCTCTCTATGGTAACTACTGTTTCTCTTCCTCAGATGCTTCCCTACAGCTTCCACCGTCATACTGACTGCTCTCCACGACCACAGGAGGTAGGGGTGAGAGGGGAGGGGAAGGGTGTGCATAGACGTTTCAGGTCTGATCACGCTAGTTCCTTGACACAATTCCAGAAACCGTTTAAGCTCAGACTTAGTCAAGGAAGACAACCTCTGATTTGGAGCCATGGTGACTAAAGGGTATGACTCTGAGATCTCTAAAAACACCATCCTCATCAACTACCTGAGATCTCTAAAAACACCATCCTCGTCAACTACCTGAGATCTCTAAAAACACCGTCCTCATCAACTACCTGAGATCTCTAAAAACACCATCCTCATCAACTACCTGAGATCTCTAAAAACACCGTCCTCATCAACTACCTGAGATCTCTAAAAACACCGTCCTCATCAACTACCTGAGATCTCTAAAAACACCGTCCTCATCAACTACCTGAGATCTCTAAAAACACCGTCCTCGTCAACTACCTGAGATCTCTAAAAACACCGTCCTCATCAACTACCTGAGATCTCTAAAAACACCGTCCTCGTCAACTACCTGAGATCTCTAAAAACACCATCCTTGTCAACTACCTGAGATCTCTAAAAACACCATCCTTGTCAACTACCGCACATCTACCTGCGGTAAGACAGGAAACCAATGTACTGGGACTGATGTGAGTGGGAACTGGCAACTCGAAGGTACAGTCTTAGATTTATGAATATCTCTGCTACTGGAGCTGATAGATGCATGTGAGACAAACACTCTACCATTGAGCTACAGCTCTAGCTCCTTTCTAGTTTTTTATTCTCTGGTGCTATCTTTATTGATATACTTTAGAGTAAAAAGCAATTCCTTCAATTCTTTAAGTTGCTCAATAAATTTCCAAAATCTCAATAGAAGAATCTATAGATATTCATTTCTTAATGATTTGATAAAGCTTGCACATAAACTGTCTAGACTTGTTATTTTAAATTTGAGAATACTTTTAAAAATACCAATTCAACTTATTGGATAATTATAGTTATTCAGGTTTACTATTTCTTGTAAGTTGATGTATCAACTGTTATTCCAAGAAATTGGCTAATTCATCTAAATTTGCACATTTACTTAAATTACACAGTTAAAAATACTGATTATCTTCGTTTCTATTGTATTTATTACACACTCATTTTGTTTGTGTTATAGTGGCATTTCTTTTGTATTTTTTTTTTTTTTTGGTTTTTCGAGACAGGGTTTCTCTGTGGCTTTGGAGCCTGTCCTGGAACTAGCTCTGTATACCATCTTTTGTATTTTAATAACTAAAGCTTGCCTGATGATCAAAAAAGTAAAACAGTCACAATGGCCAGCCTTACAGACCAGGCAGCAATGACACTCACCTTTAATCCCAGTAGCCACACTAGCTTGTCATAGAACCCAGGCAGTAGTGGTACACACCCTTAATCCCAGAACTAGAGAGGATTGTAAAATGGGAGGGACAGCTCTCAGCCTCAGCCTCATTCTGAGATTTCTGGAGGCAGAATGGCCATTTTGGACTGAGGTATGAGTCAGTGGCTGGCTATTTTACTTTTCTGATCTTCGGGAAAGCTTTATTTATTAAAATATAAGTGAAATGCCACTACACTGTGTCTTGTATCTTTAACACTCATTCCACAGTTTTCTTAATAAATTTTTAATTATATTTATTTATTTATTTGATGGTGGGGCATTCGTGCCATGGCCTATGCGTGGGGACGGAGGAGAACTTGCGGGACTTGGCTTTCTACTTCTACCATGTGGGCCCCAGGGACTGACCTCATGTTGTCAAGCTTGGCATCTGGAGCCATCTCTCCAGGCCAGTTTCATCTTGTTACTATTTTAAGTTTAAGTACTTATTTCTTTCTCCTACTTTTATGATTTCGTTATTTTTACTCTACTTTAGCACAAATATATTATGACAGCGTAAGCTCAGTATCTTAACCTTTTTTTTGCTAATGTATTCATTAAACTTACAAAGTTCCCTCCCTAAAAATAGGGCTTAGTCCTCCCTCCTAAGTTTATTGTTTGTTGTTTTCATTTCTGCTCGGGTTCTTTGTTTTGCGCTGTCAATATGCTCACAATCCACTACCTCATTTCTGTCAATAGCACCAATCTCCTAATATTCAAACTTGAGACCGTGAACATCAGTTATAACTGTAACATAGTAACTAGGATATCATCTATATGTAATGTGGCTGGTGCATCTTTGGTCCAAATCACTATGTATATAATAATCCATCAGACCAGTGACCAGTCACATCAGTCTTTCAAAGTCTGTTGGTGACATCTGTTTTTCAGCTCTCACACAGAAATGCACACAGAAATGCACACAGAACCCACCTCAACCTATCAGTAGTGTGTTCAAATCTCTCTGTAGTGTGTTCAAATCTATCAGTAGTGTGTTCAAATCTATCAGTAGTGTGTTCAAATCTATCAGTAGTGTGTTCAAATCTCTCTATAGTGTGTTCAAATCTATCAGTAGTGTGTTCAAACCTATCAGTAGTGTGTTCAAACCTATCAGTAGTGTGTTCAAACCTATCAGTAGTGTGTTCAAACCTATCAGTAGTGTGTTCAAACCTATCAGTAGTGTGTTCAAATCTATCAGTAGTGTGTTCAAATCTATCAGTAGTGTGTTCAAACCTATCAGTAGTGTGTTCAAACCTATCAGTAGTGTGTTCAAACCTATCAGTAGTGTGTTCAAATCTATAAGTAGTGTGTTCAAATCTCTCTGTCATTTTTGTCCTGATGAATCAGTTTCTGGTTAAAAGCATCTCACCATGAGCAGCTTGTATAGATCAAGCTCAAAGGAAAAACTATCTTCCTCCTTCTGGCTGGACTTTCATTGGATTGGACATTCAATACTTAGAACCATAGGTATGGCAAAGATTTGACTCCTAACTGTCTTAAGAAACCCCCAGAAGGGCAGCCAGCTGAGTAATCACTATCACCACATACTTACTACGAAAGGTGTAGGAACGTATCTCGAGAAAAGGTAAACAGGAACATCTTTAGCAAGCAACACTGCAGCAGTGAGTTTAGCAAGCCTAAAACAAACAAATTTCACTTAGTCCTTCCCATAATTTTAATGAACCAACCTTTCCCATAACAAATGTCTCATAATGGACTTATTCTGAATTTTGAACCAAGATCTTTGGTAGTAGCCAAAGCTGGGTGGAACCGTTTCCTAGGCTTGCCTCAAACTCACACTCCTGCCTCAGTCTCCCTTATGTTCTTACCACCACTGATTATTTAAGCTTAATGCTCCAACTGGAAACTATTAAGTAAGGTTTGCCTGTTTGCTTAAGAGGCTAGGGTTGTTGCTTAGTGGTAGCACACTGGCTTAGTGTGTACAAGGCCCTAGCTTCATCCCCAGACATACATACACAAAAATAAAAAACCTGACAAGACTGGAGGACAGTGAAGCAAAAAACACCGAATGTACAATTATCCTCCTTAAAGAAGTACCAAGACTATCAATTTATAAAAAGATACTAAGGCAGGATTATAAGAGAACAGAAACTTCATAATTACTCCTACTTGATACCTATACAAAAATGTATAAACTGACATTCTGTGAAATTGAATTTGCAATATTTTAAGGTTATTTTTACACTTCTATAAAATCTAAAGCTTATCTCTGAAGTTTTTTTTTTTTTACTTCTATTTCAGCTAAAATTGTTCTCAGGGTTCAGAAACACACAACAAGCATTAGCGTGAGATCACATTTCTGCATGAAGGTCTCTTATTTCAGAACTCTCGCCACTAGAAAAAAATTAAGTATTTTACCCTTATTCCAATGCGAGCTTTGCAATAATTAACACTGTACCTCTGGCTGCTGCAGCTGCTGGTTACTTGACCCCGAGTGTCGTACCCAACAACAAAGCCTCGCTGCTTGAAGTCTGAAAAACAACTCTCCAGGTATTTGTACATCCCCTGCAGCAAACAAACAAGATTAACTCCTCTTACAAAGTTTCACTGTAAGTGTCCCCAACCCTGCCCACTCCACAGCCCCTTTCCACGCTGAGGATGAACTGAGGGTTCAAACAGGCAAGTGCATTACCACTGAGCTGCATCCCAGCCTCGATGTCTACATTTTACAACTTAAAAGTGTCCTGTTTTTGTTTAGTGTGCTGCTAATAGATCAGAACTGACTTTGGTACTTACAGCCATGCTTACTGATGTGGGAGCTATACTGCTCAATCCACAAATGTGAGGTGACAATCATTTCTCAGATTTTCAAACACATTTAATACTACAGAAATGCCAACTTAGTAACCACAACTCCAATACGATACATAACACATGAGGGAGAGGGGAAAGGCAGGAAAAGGGGGTCAGTGTGGGAAGCGGGGTGTGCCAGAGAGAACATTCCGAGTCAGGGAGATTGTTTTATTTCAAGGCTCCAGAGGACAGAATTTTTACCATCTCACTTTGTAGTCCTGGCTGGCCTGGAACTTGCTATGTAGCCCAGGCTGGCCTCAAACCCAGACAGTTCCATCAGCTCCAGTCTCCCCCTCCCCTGGGTGCTGAAACTAAATAAAGGTGTGTACCACACCCAGTCAAAAGAACTCTTCAGAAGGGCTGTGACCTTGTAGAAGATCAGTGGTTCTCAACCTTCCTAATGCTGCAACCCCCAGCATAACCTTCAGCCATAAAATTATTTTCATTGCTACTTCATGACTGTAATTTTGCTACTGTTATGAACTGTACTATAAATATCTGATATGCAGGATATCTGATATGTGACCCCTGTGAAAGGGTTGTTTGACCCCCCAAAGGGGTCAATGAACCACAGGTTTGAAAACTGCTGTTGTAGATACAAAATGTTTTCCAATTTAACTCCTTGCCCTTTATGTTTAAAAGAGGACCTTCCTGAACAAAATAGTTTACTTTTTAAAAAGAAGGGTACTACATTATTTATAAAGTAAAATAACAAAGTGAGAAAAGTACATATATAATAGTTTGTAATACTTGCCTGTGTTGACTGTATTACTGTAAGGTCATTAATATAGCAAAACCCTGCCCCCATGGCAGATCGAAGTCCTGCTGTCCCAAAAGTCATCCGGCAACAAAGACGGTCACGCAGTTCCTTGTTCATCCCATTCCGCAAGAGATTTTCAATCTGCTCTTTCGTTTTGGGATTCTGTTTTAAAAAAAAAGAAAAGCAGACCTAATCAGGAATATAATATGCTAATACTAAGCCTGTTTGAGGGCTCAAAATGTAGACTCGTATTAACTATACTAATATATATTTATATATTTTTAAATGGTATATATTATTTATTAAAAATTCTTCCAATAACTGAGTTCTCAGAAGAGTCAGGCCCTACTAATGGTGATTTACATATGCCTACTTTTCTATAATCTTAATTTTTCTTCTCTTTTTTGATTTTTCTTTGAGACAGGGTCTCTCCATGTAGCCCTAGCTGTCCTGAAACTCACTCTGTAGACCAGGCTGGCCTTGAACTCACAGAGATCCACTCGCCTCTGCCTTCCGAGTGCTGGGATTAAAGGTGTGTGCCACTACTTTCTGGTTTATAATCTTAAGTTTAAGAGCTATGAATAAAATGTCAAGGAACATCTCTGTCAGGATACCTCTGCTTCCTGACTGTCGACGCAATACAGACACTTCCTTCTCCTGCCTCCATGCCTTCTCTGCCATGATGAACGCTCCCCTCAAACTGTAAGCTAAAATAAAAGTCTTCCTTAAGTTGCTACTTGTCAGGTATTTGGTCACAGCAATGAGGAAAGTAATTAATATAGTGCCTATTTATAATTCCTATACAGTTTGAATGTACTAAAGAATATTCTAGTAGTAGACCTAACATCTTGGGAACAACCTTAACCATGCACTGCATCATTCAGAAGATAAGAAAATAGATATTAAATAACATAGTATCAGAATTAACAACCCCAAATCCTGCTATCACTTCTCATTCAAGGGAGCCCATGCACAAAATTCTTCCATAATTCAGTACGTCTAAAGTTACAAAACTTTAAATGTTAATCTTAAATATTAGAGATTTGTGCTTGAACGACAAATACCAGGTTAATAAACCAATAAAGAATTTTTAATTTACATCTGAACAGAAGTTGAAATAGGAAACTGCCATATGAAAACCTGAAGGGTGAACACAGCTGACATTTACTTCTGAGGGTCAGCCAGCATAGAGATCCATTTCCAGAGTCCTGGAGCAGAGCAGGGACCCAGTCAGATGACTTCTTATTAGCTTCAAATTATAATCATGTTTAAGGAGCATTTCCCTATGTAAAGAATCCATTTATAATTCTAAACTAAATTTACCCATCTTTAAAAAAATTCACCCAAATTAGCATTATTAAGTTGGCTTAGATAAAAAGTTAGATGGCTATATTCATCATATGAAACAAAATTTATTTGAAAAAGTTACTAGAAGAAATAAATCCAGGAAATGAAAATGTTAACTAAACCAAGACTAGAAATTAAGTTCTGAAATACATCTTTTGTTAATCACTTAGGCATAATATTGGGTAGGGAAAGATTGAAACCGTCAGCCTTCTGGGCTTAAGTAGCTCACTGGCAGGGTGCTTGCTTAGTGCACAGGTCCCAGGTTTGTTTCCCTACCAGTGTAAAAAACAAGAATGGGGCTAGAGAGATGGTTCAGCGGTTAAGAGTACTGGTTGCACTTGCAGAAGATCCAGGTTCAATTCCCAGCATCCACATGGCAGCTCACAACCATCTGCAACTCCAGTTCCAGGCATCTGGTATTCTCTTCTGGCCGTCTTGGACACCAGGCATGCTTGTGGCACAGAGACATTTAAGTAGGTAAAACACCCATACACATAAAAGAGTAAAATAATTAAAACTAACCAAATAATAATACTTATTTATCAAGCACATACTATGCGCCACACATAGAAAAGACTATTGGTAGTTTGAGGACTTTACAAAGTTTAACATGCAGTGCAGTAGAAAGGTAAGTAAAAGGGCAGTTTCCACAGAGACTATGCACAGGTCCTGGGTGATGTAGCCATATTTGACCTGTTATTAAGCTAGGGGGAACTGAGGAAAGAGAACTGAAGGAAGTAATATCTGATCTGATAAGTAAACTGAATTGTTGGAGGAGGAGGAAGAGAAGGAGGGGGGGACAAGCCGCGAGTAGAAACATAACAATTTCAGTATTGGATTTCCTGAGTTTGAAGTGACAGCCACACTCAGCACATCACCCCCACTGTCTACCTACTAGCCTGGCTCTTCACAGTAACTCAGGAAATGCAATTAAATCAAGATACCATTTCCATCTGGAGATGAAAATGGTTTCTTGATTGAATTTTAAGAGTTTTTAAGAGCAGCGCAAGGGAGGAAGAGAGAATTTACGATGGCTGGATAATAACTGGTTCCAACTGAGAGGCCCAAACCGACCATTATTTATTGTCCTTCAGCTTCTATGGGCAGAAGTGTGAGGCTTCTGTTGAAAGACTCAAAGATGTGGCTGATGGAATCACCTCCAGGCTTGCCTGCCAAGTGTTTGGCAGCGATGCTATGCTGGCTGGGACTCCGTAGGCTGTCACATGGGACATCTGCAGCAGGCACTCCTTGTAGCCTGGGTGCTAGGGCGAGTGTCCTAAAAGCCAGCCAAGTAGCAGTTGTCCTACCTTTCCTGTCTAGACCTGGAAATGAAGCAGCTTTGCCTCCACTGTTGCTGTTATTTCTTGAGGCTGTGACAGACTCATGACAAAGACTCACCTAGGTTCTAGGAGAGGAAACACAGACCTTAACTTTTAACTAAGGAGTGTCAAAGTCATGCAGAAAGTCAAAGAATGTGAGATAATGTAAATTACTCCAGCTACTATTGAAAGATACAATTTACACAAAGGGATTATAAAACCCCAAACTTAAAAATCTGAAATACTGCTTATTCCAAGAATTTGGGGTAAAGAATACTTATCTTTAATATTAAATCTTAGCTCAAATATTAAATAGTCTTGATCCATATTTAGTTAGGGTTTCTGTTGCTGTGAAGAGACACCATGACCATGGCAACTCTTATAAAGGAAAACATTTCATTGGGTGGCTTACAGTTTCAGAGGTTTAGTTCATTATTATTGTGGTGGGACATGACATGAGGCAGACATGTTGATAGAGAAGGAGCTGAGAGTGGAGAAGGAGCTACAACTTGATCCACAGGCAAGTTAACTACATATTCTATATGCAGTTATATTTATATTCTAATATAAATTGGTTAAATAAAAATGTAACACAGGGCTAGACAGGCAGGCTTAGTTAGTAAGATGAGTATCTCAGTTTGATCCAGGCATCACTGTAAAAAGCTGGTCTTGGTAGTATGCAATTTCAATCCCAGTGATGGGGAGGAGGAGACAGGAAAGGAATCACTGGGGCTCGATGGTCTAGCCTAGCCTAACAGGTGAGCTTCAGGCCAATGGGAGACCCTGTTTCACAGGTAGTGGATAACATTACTGAGGACGACACCCAAGGTCATCCTCTGACCACCAAATGCACATGTACCTAGTATCTGAACAAGCACACACATGTACATACACACACAAATAAAGTATAACAGTACAATTCAAATATCACATCCAAAATCTTATTAAATTTTAATGATATATGAAACATTCAGGACATCTCAAGAGAGGAAAATTCATAAGCCATATATGTAATGATTCCAGGTTTGTAAAACATACACATATGCAAAAATACAACGAAAATATGACTGTTTTTTATTAAAGGTCTTACTCTTCTCTTTCCTTGTTCCAGGTAATGCAATTAGGTGTAATTAGGGAGAAGACTTAGACAGCTTACATGAATACCTAAGTTCATCTGTGGTCTGGTATTATTCATCACTTTAGGAAATTTCACAGTTATAATCTCTTCCAATACTGCTGCTGGCCCACTTTTTCCTCTCCTTAGGTGGTTTCAATCCAATGGATCTGAGAACTTTCCATTATATTATTCCCAGGCATCACCTATACTTTCTCTCATCATTCATTCTATCACTCTATGCTTCATCCAGAATACTTCCCACTGCCTATCTTGTAGACTTCTAATTCTCTAACTCTGAGTACTACTCGATCTGTGCACAGAAATTCTTAGTTTTGATTACTGTATTATTTCAGAGTCAGAACTTAAATTTTAAAAAAATACAAGCTTTTGCATTATTTTCACTTCTCTGCCTAATTTTTAATTTTCTCCTTTTGACCTCTCAGAATTGGCAATCTGTTATTTTAGTCTGCATATCATAATTTACAATAAGTACCTCTACATGTCAGTTCACAGTACATTTGTTTCTGTGGATAACTGTTTATGTTGACCTGTTTCTTTACGGGCCTGGTTAACTGACTCTACACTGGATATTATATTTGCAACGTTATTAATAGGAACAAATTGAGGACTGTAAGGAAGGCATTTCCTACTGAAGCCAAGTACTGCAGCTGCAACCCAAGCACACGAGAGATACAGACATTCTGAATGATCAGCAATTCAAGGTCATTTCTGGCCTAGTGTCTCTTTCTCTAGTTATGTGTCGAGGTGTAGTAAGTTCTCATCTACGGTTCTGGTACCATTCATGCCTGCTTCCATACTTCTCACCATTAAGGTCGCTGACTCTAATCCTGTAAGCTCAAATTAAACACTTTATAAGTTACATTGATTAAAGTGTTTACCACAGCAATGGATGAGCAACCAAGACCACATGACTTGATCAAATCTCTGTTTTCCAGCACCACTTGTCTATTTAACTGGTGAACTGAGACAGATTGTATAGTTTAGTCTGGTGGGATTACTAAAATTCCAGTTTACAGTGTCTTTCCCAATATCCATCAGTTCTCCAATACTCTGGCTATAAACTGAATATTCATGACTTAATTTAATTCTGCCACTATTTACCCAGCATGAGATTAGATCTTAAAAACTAAAGGGTTTAGTCCACAGCACTGCCCCACTTTGGAATGCCCAGTATAAATTCTGTGCTACTACTCATACTTCTAAATGAAGGATTATAGAACCATAAAAGGGAGTTCTCATTTACCAGCTTGTCACATTCAAAACTTTTCTAGAATGCCTCACAAAACTCAAGAGAATGGTTTAGCTTACCAGCTTATTATAAGACAATGCAGGAACAGCCAAATGAAGAGATAAATAAG